CGTGGCGTGATCACGTCTAATAATTAAGGAGTTACCCAGATTCAGCGTAACCTGACCTCGGTGGCCCACAAACCGGGATAGCCCCATCATATTTTGCAGCTACGTTAATCCGGTCCGTTTGGGGACCAGTGATAAAGCATAGCACCTATAACAGCGTAACTTGTTATGACCTCTATTGCGTTAACTTTTTGAATATTCTTCTTCTTCTTCTTCAGAAAAAAGCAACGATTTAAACGAAACTGAAGGGTTATTGATTGCTCAAAAATTAAGAATTACTTGAAACAGGTCTGCTTACTTCTTGGGAATCAAAATCGTCCATAGTTAAATTTCAGGCCCTGCAAGCAATCTCTCTATTGAGCAGTGCAACGCAGTTTACCAATGGGTTTGCGTGTGGTGTATGTGCTAGTGACGAGATGGGGAGGAATGTGGTTTGACCAGTGTCATTCTACTGCAGGTTGTCATTAATGCGCATACGATTGATTAGACTCCCCAAGGAAATGAAAATGCGTCGGCAATGTGGACAGTTGAGACGAAGGCGATGGGTGTATGTGGCTGCTTCTGGAACTGGTTCCTCAGTTTCTGCAAAATGTATAGGCAAGTGACCAACCAGCCTCGTGCCCGACTTGAAGATGCGATCGCAGTGAGGAGAGGTTGGGATCAGGTTCACATAATCGGTGGTGGGGCAGTTGTTATAAGAGTGGTAATTGATGGGGCGTTGAGAGTGTCCTCACTGATGATATGGGGGTGAAAAAGGTGAGAGTTGTCGTCGTCGTGGTGTTGGTTGCGGCGTTTGTGGCAGTAACGACGAAAGTGGTAGTTAACAACGTCGGCGGCGGCGACGGAGCATCAGGATGGTGATCACCGACGGTGACGTTAGTGGTGCTCGCCGTCGTGGATGACATAGTGGTTGGGTGTCGGAGTAGCAATACTGGCATTCGTGGAAGCAGCAGCCGGAGTTGTTGGGTTGTTGCAGCATTTGGTCCGGAGATATGCGGTGAGGCCGAACCTTGCGCGGAATATCCATTAACAGGTTCGATATTTGGGAGGCGGTTGGCTGTTGACGGTGTCGCGTTCACCATCCCCGACGAAAACGATGAAGAGGTGAGTTCATGGAATAAATGGTAATTGTACTAAAGTTTCATAATCTTCCTTGATTCCATCAGCATCGTTTCCTAAAAGTTATTTCAAATATTATTTGGTCCATGAATCGCTCCCCCTACTTCTCTGGGAGATGATGGAGACGAGGATATGTTTGAACCCCCAAGCGTCGCGAAGACAGATGTAGCAGTGCAGAGAAGCAGTTACTTAAAGTGGATCGAATATTTTTTTATCTTCTCTCTATTTCGAATGAAGCCGTTTTTTGTCATTAAGCCAATAAACTCAGAAAATTGAGTACTTGTCTTTATGTAGGGCGTTCTTGAACAACTGAAGAAGTTGGGCCATAAGGTTGCTCCACCTGGACTTTTTGCTTCCGTTCAAGGCATCGAGGTGATTACAACGAAGGATACCAGAGACAACCAGTTGAGAGCAAACGCTGATTACAGGAAGGGTGGAGAAACGGATGGGCTATGAAGCAGCAAAACTGCCCAATGCACCTCGCTTTGGAGCAGACGATATTGAATCCCGGTTTCATTTTTTTCTGTGACTGAAATACTTTTGGAAAAGCCACCTCCTTAATATTTTCAAAGGAAAGCGTATTTAAAATTGTCTTTCATTCTCTTTTAATATGATCAATTATAATAGGCTGGCAGGAGTTCACCCGAATTATCAAACCATAGCCCACAGCCTTTATTTTTTCGCTAGTTTACAGCTCCCAATTTCCAGTATTTCAAACTGTATGCTCCTGCTTTTGACTCTCTTGGTGTAGTCAAACAAGATTATATAATTCTTAACTTTTGTTATATAAACACACCTCCTGAGCAATTGCACTTACTCCACCCATAGACACCCCGGTATTGTAGGCGACCTTGTCTCCCGTGTATTAAATGGGACCACATATCTGACCGTTACAAAATGGGTAATTCGTCTGAAACGGAAATAAAAACTCAAATATTTAACTGTGTAGTTGATAACGAAGATAAATGTGGCATTTTAGTTTAGAAAAACAGAAAATGTTCAAAAGTACCGCTTGTCACACCAGAGGTAATCTGTTTCTCTTCTCTAACTTCCATTTTCTGTAGACTTCTACTTGCTAATTTTCGTCCACATAATGGGCAGAATTAGATGAAGAATATGAAACCAAGGCGATTTTATGCAGCCGAAAACTGATTATGTTTAACATATCGACTTTGACCACTGATAGAACGTCAGTTGCAAAAGTCCGACAAATTGCCGCTAAAACGTGAATAAGTTCATTTAGTAAACTTGCAATGTTGATCAAAAATGTAAACTTAGGTTGATTACCGCATAGTGGGTTTTGAGTTAAGAGCTTAATACATACCAGTGTTGACCTCATTGTCTGCATTTGTTCGTTAAGGATATATGCTTGCGAAACGTTGGTTCATTTTTCATAAATACAACTGATAAACATACGCTTTTGGAGTTACGAAAATTTTCAATGAAAAGTTCAAAAGAAAACTTAGTGAACAAACGCTACCGCGTACACCTTCAAAGTTCATGGGGAATAACTTTCTCCCAGCGGCCGCGGGAAAAAAATTAGATGACGTTTTTCCACTTTCCATTTCTACAAAATGTCTTCACTGCCTACCCTATTGCCCCACCCCAAAACCTCTATAACCATCGGTTCCGTAATAGAAAATGGTGGGCCTAGTGGCATATGAGGTGCATTACTTAAACTACTTTTATCGAACTAAATAAAAGGTGCTGTGAGCGGAAAATCTTGCTAACGTTTGGTGTGGAAGGATGAACATAACTAACGTCAGAGGGGGAAGTTAGTGAGCCGGATGAGCACCGGAAAATGTAATTATGTTGCGTTGGTTAGTTTTTGACTTTGGAAAATGCTTGTTGCTGGACCTGTTAGAAATTCTTCGATACGCACAGGACCGCTTTGGGTCAATCGATTGCAGTCGCCTCCGCTGTAGTCAAGAAACGCTGTCCAAATGATTTCGGGTAGCTGGACGGAACCTTGTAAATAATTATGAAGGCCCTTCTGGCGTCTACATGCTGGCGCTCGAACATAACACTTTATTGCATCCGTTGAGTCGGTGCCTCAGAACTGTGAATGAGGCGAGGAATGCAAAAATTTCATGCGGCAACAGGTGACGTCATTACTCCTCCAACACAAAAGTCAGACGACAATTTCCGATTAAAAAGCCCGTTAACTTCTGACAGTATGGATGATTAAGGACATCGTCACCCTGCCCGCCGACAAGGGGCGCTCAACGGTCGTCGTGGATAAGGTCGACTACTGTGCGAAGGTAGAAAATATATTTATTGACGGATTCGTGTGAGCCATCGACCGTCAGCGAGTTCATGAAACTCGAAAACGCCATTTATAAGACGACTGGCAAGGTGAGGAAGACAGGAACCCTGGCGAGAAAGGAAGCGCTGAATGCAAAGGCTACCGACGCTGAAATGGTACCATTCTACGGCCTACA